CTCTTGTGGAACACTCATGCTGAAATGAGCCAGGTGCGGAGGGGCCGGTCACGAAGCATTGGAGGTCACTGTTCTCCCTCAGAACAGCTACTCCTTCCCTCAGGCCAGATAGCTCCCATTCTTCAGGTCAGTGGAGGCTGGGCTGGCTCCCAGCCCTGCTCCCAGCTCACCACCCTCAGCATGCGTCCAGCTCCTCAAATCTCCCCAAATCATGCTTCAGCCCATCTTCAGACTTCACTCTTGTTACATTTCCTTTGCCTCAAATGACCACTCATCTTCTCTCTGCCATCACCCATTCCCTCACAAGCGCTTGAGAAATCAGCAGGCTCCAAGTTTCCCAAAGAGTGTGCTAGGGAACCCTAGTCCTCAAAGATGAGCTATAACAGAATTGTGTGGACACGGAAGTTTGGGAAATACTGGACTCTGTAGTTGCTCACTTTCCTTCGATAATCACAAGAGCACTGGTAAATTAAAAGCCCTAAAAAGTTTTATCTTTCAGAAGTCTTTTTTTTTTTTTTTTTTTTTTTTTTTTTTTTTTTTATTGCAGTAACATTGGTTTATAACATTGCAAAAATTTCAGGTGTACATCATTGTACTTCTATTTCTGCATGGACTACATCATGTTCACCACCAAAATACTAATTACAACCCATCACCACACACGTGTACCGAATTATCCCTTTCACCCTCCACCCTCCCCCCTTCCCCTCTGGTAACCACCAATCCAATCTCTGTCCCTATGTGTTTGTTTATTGTTGTTATTATCTACTACTTAATGAAGGAAATCATACGGTATTTGACCTTCTCCCTCTGACTTATTTCACTTTGCATTATACCCTCAATGTCCATCCATGTTGTCACAAATGGCTGGATTTCGTCTACTCAGCCATAAGAAACGACGAAATTCAGAAGTCTATTTAACTTTGTATTATCCAGATTTTCACAAACATATCTTGACTGAGAAAACTTTTCTTGTAAAACACGATTTCTTGGAAGGAGTGACTGATACCAACCCTAGGGTCTTAGGCTCTCTGCGTACTAGAAATTGACAAGAGGCCCAAACAAAGGCTCAGACACGGTTTTACTGGGGCTTATGCTCGAGCACAAGGGAGACAGCACAGGAGAAGAGGCTCTCTGGCTGGTTGGCGGAAGGGAGCCGTCCTGAGTCTTTTATGGGGTGATGGGAGTGGACTGGTTTCATGCTTCTCCTCCAGAGGCTTTCTGCCTCCCTCTTCCTGGGGGTGTCGTCTCCGCACGCCCCGTCGGGGTTGTAGTCCTTGCACCTGGCCGGTAGGCAGTGTTGGCGGTGTTGCTCACTCCCACGGCCCCAGGAAGGTCGTGTAGGGTCATCTCGAGGCTTTCTGTGCATCGGGGGTCGTATAGCGTCATCTTGAGTCTTTGTGTGCATGCGGGAGTCGGGGTCAACTGCCTGGGGGAAGTTTTGTGCTTGGAAGGTTCTTATCTTGACTTCAGAAATAGCTGGACTGGGAGGTGCCAGACCTGGTGGTTAAGGCTGAGGGGCAGAATCTCGTCCCTGTTCTGTCTCACGACCACTGAGCTGAGTCCTGGGGCCTGGAAGAGGGAAGTGGGGCAGAGAAGGAAGCAGGAAGATGGTCCACTTGATTGGCAAATCAAAAAGTGTTGAGTTTAAGATCTGAGGGCCGTGGGAGCCTCCTGAGGGCTTTCAGCAAGAGCATAAAAGATCAGATTTGCACCTTATAAAGAACACTAACTCTCACTAAATGCTTTTGAGCTTTATTTTTTATTGCAGACCTATAGTAAACAAAGCTGTTGCGTTATTACCCAGTATCTACATACGACACATTACAAAAGTTTCAAAGAATGGCTCTTATTCTTGTTACATGAAATGCCCACTGATATTTTCTATTATTTTTTCTTCCTTTTGGAAATCACTTTTAGACAGCTTTTCTGGGCAAGCAAAGATGGGGACCTGAACTTACTAACACCTGAATCTGTGACAAGGCCCCTCATCTTCTCCCTGATGTTCTGGATAAACATGAGAGTGATCCTAGTTCTTCTGCTAAGGAGCAGTCAGCTCATTTAACCTGTGCGCATGGTTTCCCTTGTCTCCTGTCACAAGTCAGAGGTTGTAGTACCACTGGGGAGAAAGTAAGTCAGATTTATTTTTGCTCACTAGGACAGCAGTTGGCACATTGGTGGACACATTGGGGGTGCTTCAGACACACTTGTTCATTGCATTGCATTGCACTGAATTGCTGATTCTTCATCCATTGCAGGGCAAAGAAGTTTGGCAGGCTGAGAAACAGTAGTAAGCTTCACTCAAGTACTGTGCACGCCCCAGCAGGTGATCAGAGTCACCTGGAAAACATCTCCTCCGCGTGTGCTGATGGCTCGGGAATGAAGTGTCTGCATTGCAGGGAGGAGCCCCGGACTTCCTGCTGCTTCTTCCCCTGCGGTCACACCTCCAAGATGGTGCGGTCCAGGAGGACAGCCATCACGTTTGCATTCTTCCTTTGTTCTTCTCGAGGGGATCCTTGTCTTTCTGTCCCTTCCAGAGCTGCCATCTGCTCTCGCTTCTGAGGTCTTCTTCGTACAGGACAGGATCCAAGGTGGGGCTCAGCCTCAGCACCTCCTCCTGCTGTCTCTGAGAAGAGAGCTCTAGCCCGTTTGGTTTAAGGGCTTCACTGCTGAACTGAGAGCGAGCAGCAGACCATCAAGCCTGGCCGTCACTAGAACAAGTTCCAGAATCTCACAGAAGGTTCTCTAGAGTCTCAAGCAGTCTGTTGGTGACGCCACCCCTTCCTGAGGGTGAATTTCACCAAGCCTCCCTCCGCCACCAGCCCTTGTCTCCAGATTAGGTGTTCCACTTCCTGCTTGAAGGTCTGAGGCGCAGTTAATAGTTGAACGATAAACAAGTTAGTCACCCTCGAAGTGACTGAAGCTCAGGTGGTCAGGGCATTCCAGAAGGGTGACTGTCTGTCCATGTTTCCCCTTCTCCACACAGGAAATAAATGACCCCAGGCCTCTCCCTCACCATTACTCATGTACCACATCTTAAAAGTCCTGGAGGAAAACTGAAGTGTGGTCCACAGTATCCTTTACTTCCGCCTATTCACTCCGATAGCATAGGTTGGCAAATCCAGCCGTCAGTCTGAAAGGTCGAGGACAGCAGGGCTGTGTTGACCAGTGTTATTCTGATACCACGGTGGTAACTTCTAGGGGCAAAAGGACCTGGAGAAAGATAAAAAGGAAGCTGCCTCACTCCAGGGGGGCATCTACTCTGATCACCTCAACCTTCATATCCCTGAACCATGGCACAGACTCCCTGTCCAAGCTCATGGGTTATAAATAAACCTCATTTGCACCTGCTTGGAGTGTTGCCAGCAAAGTGATGATAGTCCTTATCTGCTCGTGGGGGGAACACACGGTTTTCCTTTTCTTCCTTCTGCTGTCTATCTGACTTTTCTACAAAAAAAAAAAGTCCCTATTATTTTGTAATAAGGAAGAAAAGCACAATTGTTTGTCGTTGCTCAGAAAGAAGTATGCCCCGCTGTATCCATATACTTCACACATAGCGCCATTCTATTATTTATATTGAAAAGATGATTTTTTTAATTTCTAAAATGGAAAATCTATTAGGGAGACCCTAGCCCAGGTTTTGGTAACACAGTCTTGATTTAAAATCTTAGCTGCTCCCCTTATTATGCTGGAATGACCTTGCAAAATGTACTTAACCTCTCTGAGCTGTAGTGTCTTCACCTGTAGAGGGGGCCTGATACCTTCTTCACAGAAGCGTGGGGAGCATTTAGAAGGCTCTTTTGTGCTTACTATATTATGCATGCTCAATTAACATTGGCTATTTTTCTTCTCACCCCAACCCTGAGATCTCGGAAAGAAGATTTATAAAGCAGCCAGTACACATTTCCTAGAATCTTTAGAAGGAAACTCAGCACCCATTTAATCTGACTTCTCCAGAATCCTGTCCACAGCTTCCCTGGCCCAGGGTCCCTGAGTTTTGGCACAATGCAGCCCACTGCTTCCCTGGGAGCAGATGGCCAACTCGATGCTAGGACAGGTCTCACCACGATAATGATGTTACTTGCTTTTTATTTAGCTAAAATTCGACTCCCTATGAAATTCTACCTATTGTTCTTAATTCTAACCTCTTGACTCTCAATGAAGAATTAGCAGGCTTCCTGCTCCACCCCATAGTCTTCAGCTGTACATCAACACCAGCACCAAGCAGGGTCATTGCATAATGTAGAGGTTGGTCTAGGCACGGCAGAAACCTTCTTAAGTGACACAAAGCAAATTAGTACCCGAATCATGCCCTGGCAGTTGGCAACACGTCCAATAGAGGTCCTCTCCCTGCCTCCTGCACCCTCACCGCTCCTCTGACTCTGTCAGCTCTGCCTCCAGGAGACTCAGCAGCACCCTTTCCTGCCTCTACCCCGCACCAGCCTTCTTTCCTCTGACCCTTTATCAAGGTGGAGGTTTTTATTCCTGCGTGGAAGATGTAGCTGAACAAGCAGATTGGGAACACTGCTTTTGCTAATTCCATCACACCACATAAGGAAGGAGAGGATAGACTTAATGGAGTCACACGCACAGAAATATACCAATCAGGCAATAAAACGAATAGTTATTCTGATTTTATCCTTGAAAAAAATTCCTGTAGGCCCAAGCTCAGTGATATCCAAACAGACTATCAAATTGTTATTTTCATATTAAGGAAAACAGAAGCTCTTTTAGATAACTCTTTTGCATTCCAGGCTGTCAGCAGAAAAGACAGACACGCTGTAGACCATTAAGTACTTGGGAGACATGATTTTAGCTGGGATGTAACTCAGTTATACAGTGATTTACAAGGAGCCTGGGGAAAATGTTTCTTTGTCTGGGCAGGGGCACTGTCAGATGGAAGGTGCAGGAGTTCCAAATGCTGTTTGTTCCAGCTCTGTGCTCTATTGCAGCAATGTGTATGTCTTGTCTGTGCTGGTGGATGATTAACAGAGGTTATTGGTCTCCATGGCAAAGTGATTGCTCTGAACATAATCTCATTTATGGGGGTGCAAAAAAAAAAGAGGACTTCAGCTCAGGGAGAATGTATAAATGTCCATCGTCATCGAGGTTCTGCTATATCTGAAAAGCAGAAACAGCTCCAAGGACACAGTTCACAGGCTGATTGGCTTCTCACCTCCAACATACGGATAGAATTGGGGACAATCACCAGGACACTCTTAGCAGAGACCCGTGAAGGAGGCAGTGAGGCCTTTGATCGCAGCTCGGTCCTGCCCTTGGCAGCATGTGCACTGGGAGCTGTGCCAAGTGCCTGGGGGGCACCCTCATTCCCTTCACCGTGTTTGGCTTCCTGGCTAACGTCCTGCTCTTTTTCCCTGGAGGAAGAGTGATAGACGACAACGACAATCTTTCGGATGAGGTCTGGTTTTTCGGAGGAATATTAGGAAGCGGGGTCTTGGTGAGTAGGGAAACCTTGAAATCCCTCTGAAGGAGATTTTCATCCCATCCTTTTAAGATCAAGTATTCATTGACAGGGAAGGTATCTAGTTGCTAACAAAAGCCTAAGCATTGCGTGATATGAAGTCAGTGCCTTAATTCTTCCCCTTCTCTATTAGGACCCGACACGACACGTCCACTAAATTTACTAAGTAACAAATCCCCAAGCTTGGGCTGGAGGTTCTCAGGGGTCAGTTCAATTCCACGAACCAAACTGAGGGCCACGTGATTTCTTTATTCTATATCACAGTGCTGGCTGGTGGGGGCAGACCCACACTTTCTAGCAAATTGATTGACTGAAGACCACCCACAGAGCAGGTGTCAGTGGATCCCTCCACTCGGGCACTAATGAGTTCTTTACCCGTTTCCAAAAGAGTGTGGGCACCTCATGTTAAGAGAGAGAGAGACTCACTTTTCACGACAGTTGAGGACAACTTTCTTTTCCGTGTCCTAACCCACCATCTAAATGGAAACTTAGGGTGTCAGGGCTTGAAATCTTGCCTCACTGAAGCTAATAGCACCTAAGTACTCACTAACCCTCATCGACCCACCAGCCCTGCTCTGTCCTTGCCATGCCCACTGGCCACCACATCCCACATCGCGGATGTGGCTCCTCTCACAGCCCAGGCCCACCCTGAGGTGCTTCTCTTGCCGGTAGATGATCCTCCCTGTGGTGGTGTTCTTGGGCCTGAAGAACAACGACTGCTGTGGGTGCTGTGGCAACCAGAGCTGCGGGAAGCGATGCGCGGTGAGTCACCTGGGGGGAGGGGGCAGCCACCAGAACACCTCCAGGGTGCACTGTCTCCTTGTGCTGGCATCTGCGGGTGGGGATGAGTTGCTAACCCGAGGCAGGACTCTGGGAGCAGCAGGTGCAGGCACAAGGATGGGATTCTTGCTGGTGCGAAGTAACAATATAACACAATTTTAAAACAGCATAGCCCTGAAATTTGCAGGGTGTGAGTACCATTCTAGATTTTACAAACAGGCAGGATGTCAAAGCTGCAAAACTGGAGTGACGCCATATGTAGAATGCAGGCTTGGAGGGCTGAGGCGGGCGGTACCTCTCCCTCTGCTGAGAGTCCCTGAGGCTCCAGGCGAGTGCTGTCCTTTCTCTGGCTCTGCAGTGCCTCACCTGTAAAGGGGGGTTGGGACAGGACAGCAGATGGGAACCTCCTCTCACCAGTACTCCCCTCAGCTCCCCCTGCAACCACTGCCAGGGTCTCGGCCTCAGAGGTCCAGCACTTCTCCACGCCGCCCCAGAATTTGCCTCAGGGCTTCTGTTTCCTTTCTTTTTCATGTTCCATCCTTCTCGTGGGCGAGCCAGAGAGACAGGGCACCACCATTCCAGGGCGGAGTGGGAGGACTGCCGGGACACAGCGGCGGGTCCCCTTTCCGCGACTGCGTGTCCCTGTGCTGCTCTCGCCTCCCTTCTCTCATCTGTAAAATGAGGAAGTTGGACCAGACCCGATTTTCCCGAGCTTAGGACAAGCTCTGCTGGCACACAGATGGGCTGTCCCTTTCAATGACATAGAAAGTTATTCCCTTTTCAATTACCCTTCAATCTTTTTGATTCTATCAAGAAAGAAAATCTTATTTTGATGGAAATAAGTCTTTACTACGTCTAATGCTTCATAATCTCCTTTTCTAACAAAGGAGGAAAGAGTCTCGGGCTCCAGGAATGCGAGTGACATTAACAAAAAAGTCAATCATGTTGTGGTTGTGTTTGCTAATAATTCTGGTTTTTCATGCATATGGGTGATATAAATGAATAAAATAGAGAGTTTACTTAAAGAAAAATATTAAGAGTCCAGATACGTTAATATGGCAAAAATGAAGAAGATAGAACTGAAATTCTGGCTGGATGATGAGTAAGGCCAGCTTCTGCTCTCATCTCCAAGGTCCGATTGTCCATCTAAGAGACTCACGAACTCCGTTAACAAACTGGACACACTTACCTTGACTTCTTTAAGGGAAAGGTGTAGCTATCCGTTCGGAAACACAATCATTTATAACATTTTTCTCATCGTTATTTGCTCATTTATCAAATCAAAAAATATTTCTTGAGTACATATGAAGGGCTGACGCTGGGCACTGTGCATAAGGTTACAGTTTTCCATGTGGAATTCAAAGATCATTCAAAGAGAATGTTCTCACCTTCTTAACACCATCCTGACTCCCAAGGAAACATTGATGATTATTATTGTAACATTTAAAATCATCATTTACAAAGAAAATTAACTACAATTAATCTGATATAATTATGTAACATATGCCATATCTAATACGATACTTTTATATAATTGCTTATAAAGGAAAGGGAGACATTAGAACTCATTTTCCCCTTGAAGTGTAATTCCGTTACACCTTGTAGACTTTCAGGGCATTAGTTGGAGATGAAATTTGAAAAAAATTAGCAATTAAGGAAATTGGATGAAAAGAAAAAAAGAGTCATTGGTGCTGAGTAGAAGGCAGAAGATTAGCATGTGTAAAACAAAGGTTTTGTTTATTTTTTGTTTTTAGGTTTATATATAACCACAGTGAAAAGTGAATTAATACTCAAAGTATTGTGCAAAACTTGTTTCTTAATTAGATTTAAGTGAAGTCAGAGAGGAAGTCAGAAAAATCTTTCTTTTTTTGTGGGGAAGATTAGCCCTGAGCTAACATCTGATGCCAATCCTCCTCTTTTTGCTGAGGAAGATTGGCCCTGAGCTAACATCCGTGCCCATCTGCCTCTACTTTATATGGGACACTGCCACATCATGGCTTGACAAGCGATGCATCAGTCCATGCCCGGGGTCCAAGTGTGCAAACCCCGAGCCGCCGAAGGATGCGCACGCACTTAACCACTGTGCCACCGAGCCGGCCCCAGAAAAGTCATGTTTTTACCAGCACAGTTGAGTCAACAGGACCTGAAACATTTGGTCTGCCCATTCCGATTGTCCATCCGGGCTCCCTAACCCACAGGTGGGGTCTGCTCTTGGCGTGAGTTGAAGAGGAGTCCTCCAAACAACTGGCTGACCCTCCAGAAGGGCAGTGCCCGCCAGAGGACCAGCCACGCCAGACTTTAAACCAAGGCAACCAGCGACAGCGGCCCTGGACCACGGGTGACCACACTCCAGGTAGACAGCAGAGGATTGCTCGTGTCTGGTTTGTTTGTTTTTTAATCACCTGCCAACTATTAAAAATGGAGAGATTTCACAAAAAGTATCTAGATCTCTTACTTCTTTTTCAAAAAATTAAAAATTAACCTGTCACTCCCAGGCCTGTATTTTGTCACACAGTGGCTGTGCTGGGCATGGCTGAGCTCTTCCTGTAGGGTCGCTAGCCCTGGGGGCCGCTGAGCTCATGCCTCTGCTCTAGAGCCATTTTTCCTTACTGTTCTGAAGATCTGGAGCACAAAGCATTAGTCATTTTTTAAAGAAAAGTATTTACAAACATTTTGTCAGAAAAAGGAAAAGAAAGAGCATGATTTGATGGGTACTATAATGCTGAAGATTTGAATTATTTTTCCAGATGCTCACAGGGTTCCCCTCCAGGTGTTTAAAGGACACTGGGCTTCTGTGGCACATTAAGAAATCCTGCTGGGTAGCCGGGCCTGTGAGACAGATACAGACTAGGCCAAGCTGGTGTGCTAACTTCTGCTGCCTACTTCAGGGCCTTGCTCTCTATCACTTGTTTCCTGGCCACGCTCTCTCCTTTCTTCTTTGCTGTGTCTTTCTGGAATATTCCCCAGAAGGCAGCTACATCACTCTCTTCCCTTTCCTTGGGCAGTAAAATCAGGACACAAGAATCAATAGAAGAAGAGGATGTGGTGGCTGTAGAAATATAGCACGACAGTGAGCTGGAAAAATCTTGAGATCACCTGATTGACAGCTTCATGGTGAAACTAGAAGATGGCAGTAAGCTCCCCTCTGAGGCAGAGCACACTGAAGCCCAGCCCCAGGGGTCTGCACTCTCTTAAGTAAATTAAGCTAAACAAGAGCTAAGAAAAATGAACCCTGGGGCAAAAACTGCAAGAGGAAGGTGACTTCCAAGATGGGCTTTGAAAGCCCTTACCTGGGTTTGTCTTAAGGTCTCAACCTCTTCCTCCCATACGGGAGGTTCTCAGTGGACCCCTGGCAGCTTGTCCGTGGCTGGTCAGGGTTTCCTGCCCTCTAATCCTTTAAAAAACATTGATCTCTCAGGGTCCAACAGCACAGCAAATTAATTTTATCAACTCATTCCTGTTAAGAATGTGCTTCAGTAAGAGCCTTTTGAAGATGTTGAACTTGACTCAAAGGAGTGTCTTTAATAATGAGACTGAAGGCAGATTGATAAAGGACATACGGAGGGCAGCCAGGCATTTCAGCATCCTTACAGCATATCAGGTAGATAAAGGCCCACCGCATCCACAGGCAGGGCCAGATGGTTGACAGACCTGTTTAGAAGGAAGATGTTGGTCGGGTCATAAATTAGTCGATTCCTTGTAGTCAGCACTTCCTCCTGTGCCTGGCTCACCAGTGCCCCCTAGGGACGCCTACGGTGTGAGCTCTTCTGCAGGGAGCACTTCAGAGGCGGAAGGCAGGGACTCTCCGACATTTAACTCTGCGTTCCTTGGAATGACAGCAAGTTTGAGCGACATTTAAGAAAGACAGTTCTTTTGAAATAATAGATTCTCTTGAAAGAAGAAATAAAGTATGGAGCCCCATATCTTCACTAAATGTTGATTATGCTTCAAAATCCTCTGCTGAAAAATGGATCGTGGCAGTTGCTACCTTTCATAAGGGCACTGAGGAGACGGGGGAAGATGTTGCAAGCATTAGCGTGCAGGGAGGGGGCGAGGAGAACCGAATGCCTGGGGTACTGAGGACACGTGGTCCTCGATAAGTGCTCGTTGGATGAATGAAGTGCATGAACACTCAGGAGGGGTTTCGGCTGACTCCCTACTTCCTCAGGCTCAATTCTCTCAATACCCCTTTGAGTCAGGCATTAAACTCCCTGTTTTATAAATAAGGAAACTGAGGCGCACGCAAGTTAAGCTTCTGACCACCACATCCCCCACCACCCCAGACAGAAAGTACAAGACGTTAACGTTTTAAGGGAAAAAACACTTCAGATAATCTCCATATGTCTCCTAGAATACCTGCTGAGGACGACCCTTCATGCCCACCAGAGACGTTTCCCAACATGCTGCTACTACCCAAATCTCTGAAAACCCTGCCCCCAAACCACCTGCTTTTCCTGCCTTCCCAGCCCCCAGTGCCTCCTCCAGTTTATGAGGGGACGTTAATACACACCTGCTGAGGACACACCTCAGACAGCGGCAGAGCTGGGGTCCCAACCCACGTTGTCTGCCTCCAAAGGGCAACAGAGAGGAGGTCTTCAAGTTGACAAACAGTGGATCAGAGGGCCTCGGATCACAGGCAGCACTATCTTCCATTTCAAGGGAAGCGTCTGCAGCGTGCACATAACACACGTTTCTTTAGCAGTGTGAACAGGACACGTGTGCTAGCAAGCGTGAGGGAGTTCCTCTGCTTACTCATATTTTTCTGCCCAGTTATGCTTCCTGTGTGCATGGAAAGTAAGAGCGTGTGAGGATATGACAACTAAAATATTGCAATATAATAATGACATTTATCAAGTGCCTGTTAATGTCATGGGAAATTCTCTAAAACTTGGAAACAGGCAAAAGAGATTTCTAGGTGTCCTATCAATGAGGTGCTGGGCATTATCTCACAGCCTACCCCACCTGGGGTCATCAATTTTCTA